GCACTAAGTGGATACCCGCGCACTTCGGCGAGATGGAAAAATCAATTTTTTCGAAACAAATACTTTCCTAAACGAAACCGTGATCTCGCTCTAGTGCGTTTCAATAAATTCCCATGTGTCGAGCTTGATACCTTGAAATTTTTGAAACTTCGAAACGCATGCAGTTTCGCAAAGAGCGCGACACAGGTTTGAAGACAACAATTTTCCCTCCCATTTTTTCTCTTTTCTTTTAAAAAAAACGCGGTGTAAAAGTGAAACGACGATGAAAGCGAGATTATAAAGTCTTGATCTAACTGCACGAAGAATACTATTGGAATAGAGTATACTTTTACGCTGTAAGAATTTTAGAAACTCGGAGCTTTATCTCTCGAAGAATCACGGAACGTCCGTTTCGAAAATTACATTTCCCTCCGTGGGGGAGACACAGTTCTCGAGAAACGGGATCAAGAATTTCCATCGAGACTCCGCTGCCAGGTCAGAGTTCAAGCGCTTTGTTTCGACTAAACCAAATAAAAAAAAAAAAAAAAAAAAAAAAAAAAACGAAAGCGCTCGAAGCACTTCGAGCTGAATTAACAAAGATCGAAGGATCAGAAATGTTGCAGAGATGCTCGATCAGAGAGTCGTCGAGGACTGTTTCTGCGTGGATGGCGAGGACAAAGAGATTCTTAGCGCGCTGCCAGCTATAAAATAGCTCGGCTCGAGTATCCTCAGCCTGGAAATACGCACACAAAATGCAGAGGACGTTTCCGTGGCCGGTCGATTTTTTTTCCAAAGGCGTCAAGGTGGCCTCGCGAGCGTTCGCGAGACCTCAATGTTCGGTGATAAAGCGTCAAGCGGCTGGCCAAGAATAAAATACGCACACGAAGAGAATGCGGTTCGAGCCCGAACGGTGGACGTGGCAACGGTGGTCAGAACGATAACCCCTGTGAAGACTCGGGCGATAAAGAGCCGGTTATCTGCGAGAGCTGGTTATCGTCTTCTCTCTCTCCCTCTCCTCAGCCCCTTTTCTTCTCTCGCTGTTGCTTGCTTCTCCGTCTCCCCCGTTCACAATCCCCCACCAATCCGTGCTCGTCCGTTACACTCGTTCGGTTAGTTAGTAATCTGCCCGCCAATCACGTGCCATTTGTCAAAATTGGCCGGCCGGCCGGCCAATCTTTTGCATTGAAAACTGTCGACTTTCCGGTCCTGGCAAACAACACGCTCCGGAAGGTCCATCTGGCCGCCGCGGGAAAACGCTGGGGAAAAACGACACGCGTCGCACGTCACGATGTAAAAGTAATATTGTCCTTGCTCGGTTACTGGCTACATTCGTCCGTTATTTGGCCAACACTTTTATAGCCAGGCAGCAATTAGAAAGATTAGCCGGCTCGTATGGAGGCACGTGTACGTGGAAAACAAATTGTAGGTGACACGCGTTTTCTGTTTCCCGACAGGTACGATCATCGATTTAAGCGACGAATTCGATTTGAAAAAATTGATTACGTGTAACGTGTAATTGTAATAATGCTTCCCTGGCACAGGGTAAACTTCTCGCGATGCAATTTTAGGGCAGACTATATAGGAAACAATCGATTAATAAATATAACTTCTCAGTTGTTGTACCATTCAACACCGAATGTGTTAATTCGTGTGCTTGTTGAATGATCATCGAAAACTTGGAAAAGTGCTTCCAACTTCGCCGTACAACCACGTGCACAACGTTTCCGGAAGAACGCGGGAAAAATGAACGATCGTTTTACGAAAACGCGGAGGAATATCCATAAACTGGTGCCGTATTTAACAAACGCCACGAAAGCACGTTTTCCTCGCAAAGCGCGAGTCGCAGCAACGCCCGGCGTTAAATACATGTGAACCGCGGCATCGATCCGAGGAACTTATTACGCTGATAACTCGGTCGATATAGGTAACAGCGTAATAAATATCGCGCTGATTAACAACCGACAATGAGACTTTTATTGCGGCGCAAAGACGCTATCCGATATATAATCGGCGCAACGAATCTTGCCGGTTTAGTTTCTGGATTTTATTTACCCGGCAGGTTAACCAGCCAATTAAACAGTGCATTGTCGAGCACGTTCCACCGACGAGTTTAATTATACGTTTCGGCCCCCGGTGTTTGAGTAATCGCGAACACACGCTTTAATCGATTCACCGATGCAACCTTGTACGATTGCCGGCTCGTAACGTTATCTCGTCGTAATTCGCACGCGTGTGTCTGCGCGCGTTCGAGGCATATTAGTTGCATGGCATAAAAGATGAAACGGGAGAGGAAACGAATTTAAAAAAAAAATAAAAGAAGGAGAAAAAGAAGGAGAGAGAGAGAGTATAAATTGATCTTCGTCTAACATCGTACTACTCGCGCGTCTGAACATCGTTTTTCCGCCATATAGGATGCTGTTTCACGCCCGTACGTAACAATCGACGTACAATTAATCTAAAGATCCTCTCGACCATAAATAATCGCACTGACAGCGAATTGCGTGGAAACGTACGTACGCAAAAAAAAAAAAAA